GCTGTGTCAATTGAGGCAATATATGTGAAAATACTTAGCAATAAATAGTAATAAATAATCCACAAATAAAAACTTACTTCAAATAAGCAACTATTAACTTTCACTGTAAATGCGAAGGACATTTATCTGTTTGTCAGTGGCAAAGAGTGAATGCTGCCTGTCAGGCAAGTATTATGATGAAGACAGACTCACAGAACCACCTCTGTACAGCAGGGGTTATTTACGCAAGACTCTTGACAATTAGAGACAATAAAGCAGTAAATACCTCAGCACCAGACATCTGTAGGTTGGTTAGCTTCCTCTTGAAAATCCAGTGGGATAAAACCCAATGAGAATGAGAAAATTAAATGTGTTTACATATTCATATACCACTGTGCTAGCTGAGATAATCATTAAGATCTCAGGGGCTTCATTTGTTCTCTTCATTAATATACAAGTATGACAACTGGGGTGATCTAATTAGTTTTGAAACTTAACTCAGATAAACATACTTACCATGAGTGGTGCTTAATCATCTGTGCCTTTTCTGAGAAGTAACCATAACCAGGTGCCTGAAACCACACTCTGGAGCACTGTTTTATAGTTTAAATGTAGCCAAATTTTGAGACCCACAGGAAGAGTCATCACTCTTTTCTCTGTGTAAAAGTTACTCTCATTTTATCCAGTTTTGGTATTTCCCGCCAATGATGCATATTTGCTTACAAAATCCTGGACTCTTGAAATAGATAATGCTCCATTTAGTGAATATACAAAGGATGATGGAAAATACAGTGAATGATGAATTTTTTTATCTTTTGCAGTAAAAAACACATTGCCTTTCTCTGATGGCCAGTGATACTGAAGATTTTTCCATGTGTTTACTGACCATTTGTCCTTCAGCAAAATGTTTATTCATTTCAGTTGTCCATCTTTTAACTGAGTCTTTTATTTTAGGATGTTCTAATTTTTTTATTTCTTTATATGCTCTAGGTATTACTTCTCTTATGAGTAGCTGACAAAATTTTTTCCCATTCTATTGGTTGTCTCTTCACTCTGTTGGCTGTTTTCTTTGATGTACAGAAGTTTTTTTAATTTGCTATGATTCCATTTGTTGATTCTTGATACTAAAGAAAATTGATTCATACACAGAGAGTACTACACTGCCATAAAGGAGAGTAAATTTAAGTCATATGCAGAGAAGTGAATACATATTGAGACCATAATGTTAAGTGAAATAAATCAAACACATAAGCTTAAATATCATGTGGTTCCTTTTATATAAGAAGCCCAAAATATAAAGGACAAAATAAAAATGTAAATAATAAGAAATAGGAAGATAGATTTTGTTCAGATGGGATCAAGAGATGAAGGTGGGGGTGGGGGATAAAAAGAATTAAGATACGTTAATGTGTGCAAGTATCAACTACTTACAAAGATTGTAAGCAATACTTGAGAACACATTTCCTCACTTGATAGATGATATTATCACACTTGTTCATTTTACAGTGAATGTCATCTATTGTGATGTGATCTGATTTAGGTTCTTTTGTTGCATTATTTTGCTATATTACTTTTGTCATGTCCTATAGTTAATTGGAGTGAATTATTTTTATTGTATTACTTTTCATTTAACAGCATAGAATTTGTGCATCTTGTTTCTATTTCTCCAGCAATTATAACTCTAAAGGTTTCAACATTTTGTTTAAATTTTCTACAAGCGTCAGTAATTGGTATGTTCCATTTTGCTTATTAAATCATAAGAAAATTTAGCTACAAATTATTATTTTCAATCAACAATTATTTAGACTAATAAATTGCTTTGTTTTTCCTTTGTTTGCTCCTTTTCCTGGTGTTCATGTGTCACTTTATGTTCTCTCTTCACCCAGAAAGGACTGTGAGTAATAAAATTGCTAAATCATTTCATGACATCTAAATATCTTTATTTTTCCCTCTACTTGAATTACATTCAGTTTGGATAGAGAATTCCATATGCACTGTTACTCCTTACCTCACAACTTGGAAGAATAATTTATTTATCCCTTTGCCTCTGGTGTTGCTATGAAAGGTCTAGAGTCACTATTTTGCTCTTTTGTAGATAATTGTAATTTTTGTAGAAAATATAGGACAAGTCTCTGTAGTCTGTGTTTTTTGAATGTCATTATATAATTTTGGGAATAATCTTTTTTGTTTGATAGTGTGAAGTTTGAGGGTATAGGCAACGACTTGGAAGGCAATAAGATATCCTATGATACCCATTATGGTTTGACTAGTATCCTTTTTTTGAAGTCCTGTAAGGTCTTCAGTGTAGGTTTTATTGGTCTTGTTCTGTACTTTTTTGATCAATTCTATTACACCTGATGATATAGACAACTCAATTTAAAAATAGCAAGAGGTACAATGGTAACCACTTTTGATCACCTGGTATTCTATTTTTGCATCATGTGCTATGCCCACCCTTCTGTTCTAACTGACTCTGTTTTGCTTAGTCACATTTGGTTTTATTCTCTTCAAAAAAAAGTAATAAGAACCATGGAAGTAATAAAACCCAAAAAGTCTAATTGTTATTGTAAAAAAGAGAGGAAAGGAAGGTGGACTAAGGGATATAACTACAGGTACATTTGAGTGTGTAGGATGGAAAGCCATATTACTGAGCTTTTGTTGGATCATTGAATGGAACTGTCTCCAATCACACTGTATGAATGTCCACTTTATATGCTTTAATTTTGTAATTTGGACAACTGTTCCTGGGAAGATAATACGTAACCTATTAACTGGTGATTTCTTACTGTATATTTTTTTTCTTGAAATACTGTATTATTTGTACCCTTTACTGCTTTGTTTTTTTATGTCCTTTTTTTCCTCTTTAAATAAAAAAATTGGGGAATAATGCTTTCTTGTCATCTTTCTACTTGGTACTTTGGGAGGAAGACATTTCCTCTTAGGAACCTTGTCTTTCTGGGGCTTTGAATCTAGATAATTATGATCAAGGACTGTTTGAAATCATGTGCAGAAAAATGAGGGACTTTATACTGTATGAATCGGACTAGCAACATTTTAACTTATTAATTTTTAAATTATGGAAAGCAAAACCAGATATTATGTGCCTCATGATGTGATGCAATAAGTATATAGCCCTACTATGAAATTTCTGGCCAAAAACCTAACAAAAATCTGGCCAAGATTTTATGTACTTCTGTCTGTAATTTTACAGTCAGTGTTTAGCAGAACTTATTAAAGGGCCTGGCTCATCAATGCTGGTACATCCCAAGCCCATGTTATGTATTTACGCAATTTTGACATTAGCAACATATAAAATTTAGATAATATATAGTGAACTTTGGAGTCAGGAGAATCATATTTCTAGATAAGTTACTCTGCAAAGTGACTGAGCAGCTTCAAGTGCCTCAAGACCATTGGTTGTCAAAGGAAGACTGAGATTTTGATTATGGCTTAGACCTATTGATTGATTGACTGATTGATTATATATCTCTTAGGATGATACCTCTCCCAAACTAAGAGCCCCACATCTTTGGCTTCAGGATTAATGTATTTGTGGGTAAAGCCTCTGTTCAGGGTTTGACTTTCTTTCTATCCACAAGTGTTTCTTAAATATACAGTACATCCATGTTTTAGGTTTTAAAATATTTTGCTTTTCATTTTTATTACTTATATATCTTTTGTTTTCATAGATTTATTTTGTTTTACAAATGTAAAAGTTGTTACAAGAAAATTTAGGGTTTCTGGCTTGATGTGTGCTATAATGAGCAGGTAATTTATACAACATCAAAAGAAAAATTTCATGTTACACTGACCAATCCACATGCATTTTTTTTTGCACATTGACCACATGCCAAGAATTCAGCCAAGAAATAGAAAGACTTGCAGATAATAATAGCCTTTTTCCTGTGTCTTGACATCTACCAGACATAGTAGTGGAGATTTAGTACATGCCTTCTACAGAATTAAAAAAAAAAAAAAGAGGGAAAATGCAGATTCACAAATGCCCCAGGGGAAAATTGCCTAAATGGCTGTCCATCAATGTGATGCTGAATATGCTACCTAAGTATCTTTTCTCGCCTCTCCTTCTCTAACATGCTATCAAGTTACACTATGAGACAAGAAAAAGAAAAAATTTTAGTGTATTCTAATGAGTTGTTTGCAAACAGGAAAAATCTACTTAGCAAACAAGAACAACATTCATATTCAGTCCTCTTGTAGAAAGTGGTAACCTCTACAAAGGAATGAGTGATTCTTGTAAATGAAAACCATACCAAAAAATGCTTTTATTCTTTATTTTGATTGGTTTTAATCTGTTTTCTATTATTTGATTTAAATATGTGCAAAGGTATGGATAGCTATTTTGAAGAAAATAAGAGACATTATGGTAGCCATTGTTGACTTTCCTATTGTCTGGTTTTGAAGGCTTGTAATGCTTTCATTGATTTGTTTTGACTGGTTTTATACTTCATTTGTTTTGATTGTGTTTTTTTTTTTTTTGTTTAAATTCATGGTATGTGAAGATACAGATACTATTTTGAAGAAAACAAGAGATATTATGGTAGCCATTGTTGATTTCCTGTTGTCTTGTTTTGAAATCCTATGTTGCTTGGATTGTTTTTTCCAGTCTGCCTTGTTCTATTTTGTTTTGCTTTGTTCTCTTTAAAAGAAAAAAATCTTCGATCCCTGGTACCGGTAAAAAGGAAAAAGACCAAAAAAAAAAAAAAAAGAAAAAAAAGAAAAAAATCATAGATACCAACTACTTTACTAGATAGAAACACTAAGGAAAGCCACTAATTGATGCTGAGGAAATAGAATATATAACACTGCTCCAACAAGATTCTATTTCTTTGGTTGATTTTCCATGTCTTATAAAGGACAGTTTTAAACTATTATTTTCAGAAACATCATGTGGACATGGTTGAATGCCTTAACTTTTGATCATGAATAAACTTATGATTAGTGAATAAATTTAAATTGGTCTGCTGCTGGTCTCCCAAGGTTTTCTTTCTTGCTTTTTTTTTTTTTTCTTTTCTTTTTAGTCTCGCTAAATTTCCAGGAGAGGAATTTGAGTTTCAAAATGCCTATGAACATGAGCAACCTGATTTTACTACTAGGAATGATCTGTTTGGAACAAGGCAAATCTGCAACTCTTTTTCTTCCCAAAGGTAAGTTTCAAATGAACTCTGTTGTACTTTGATCTAAAGGAATAACCTTTTCTGGCAGTGGGTATCATAACTCCAGGTCCATATTTCTTTGGTAAAGTAAGAGAAATAAATATATTTTGGAGATCTAATTGTTTTTCAAGTAATTATTTTGGACTTTGCCCCAGCAGTCAATATATTAAATGATATGAAATATTTATGGACTACAACCAAGGTGGGTCTTTTTTCACTTTGTTTTACCAAATGAGCAGGTTATTCACTTCTTTGGATACAACTCAAATCCTGCATTTTGTCATGAAGCTAATTCTGGAAATCAACACAGATTTGAAAGCACTTGTTAGATTTTGAAAATTATCTTGTTGTAAAATATGAAATACATACACTGTAGTAGATTGTAAATGGCCTTTTCCCCCACTTGACTATCATAAACTGAAAACAGTTCTTGGCAAGCTTCTCCATCATCAGACTTGTGCCAGACCAGAGAAGCACCATGTTTTCTGTCTTTGCTTCAGTGAGTTCAGGAAATAGTAAATTTTGTATTTAAGTACTTATGAGTCATTCAGCAGAAGCAGTTAGAAAATAAGCTTTTGATCCAGTGTCCTGTCTGTACTAGATTCAGAAGTAAAAATTTTTATGTTTATGTCTTATATTATTTAAGAGTACACCTTCTAATTTTTAGTTTTATATCTGAAATGTGAGAGATAACAGGGTTCGATTCATAGGCATAGAGTAGAAATTTAAAAAAGAAGTCATAGGAAAGAGCTTTATGTATTTTAACACATTGATCCAAATAACTATCCTCTTAAGGACATGTTCTCAAGAAAAAAAAAAAAAAACATCTGTTCATCAGCTCAACTTTTCCAAGTGTCTACTATATGCTGGCAATGGTGTTAAACCTTAAAAACATGGAGAAGATTCCTACATAGGCTTTTCCTACACAAATAGATTGCAGTTCAATGGTAGAAAGTACCAATGCCTGATGGAAGTACAGTGTGACAAAACCATTAAAAGGATAAAGAAAGAGTGCTGCACACTGCCACGGAGATGCCCTTAACCCACTTTGAGAAAGGAAAGAAAGGCTTCTCAGTTGATGTCATTATAGATCAGGAGGTTCTGTGAGGCAAAGATGTAGAATTATTGTGAGGCAGGGCCTTCTGGACTCTCTTAAAATAGCATGGCTTACAGGAAGAGAATGGCTTACAGGAAGAATGCAAAATGTACTATCAGTGAATTATCTGGTGGAGGTAAACAACTGTAGTTTACCTCTTAGTTGAAAAGTGAAAAACCCTTTTAACAAGTAAATGCAATCGTCTCAGAGATAGTCTTTTCCACAAAGAGGAATGAGTTCTTTCTTCCACTTTCTGTCAACCTCCTATCCTAACACTATCATGTGAATCAGAATACTGTCTTCTCTCTACTCTCCTTAAGCAACTTGCTACTTTCTATATGTACAGAGAATTAAATCCAATAAGGTTTTTTAATATACAACTGCGTGGCAGACATCATACTCCATATTCTTAGACTTGGTCTCCTGCAAAGAGCAGAGGAGAAGATGTGGATGCTATTGCATTCCAAAGCAGGTATGGTGTCATCAACAAACTTAAAGAACATCTGTATGCATCAGGAACTGACAGATATTGTGAGTATAATTATCTCTAAGATTAACTTAACTTGCTGTCTTGGAGGAGCCCCAACTAGTTGGGTTGAAAAAACATAGAAATGGCCACAGTGATGTGTGATAAATGTCTTAAGAGAGTACAGAGTGCTGTAGGGAGGCTTTTAGAGAATGGAATGCCCAGAATCAAAAGGGGTCAGCATTGCTGATAGCCCAGTGGAGATCTACCACTGTGGCCCTTAACCCTCACATCATAAAAATAGAATTCTTGGTGATACACCTCCTCTACATGTCAAAAAATGAGATAAATCCCTTGTATTTCAAATCACAGCAAGTTCCAGCAGTCAACTTAGAGGTATTTTGTGATCTTTCTACATTCTTTATAACCTGCACTATTTTTCTGAATCATAAGAGTTTTCTGTATCCCTCTGTTCTACAGATTTGCAAATCATTCAATGTTTGTCTTTTTTCTAGCTCCAAACTGTGGGCAGAATGTGGTTAAAGCACAGCCTATAAATTACTTAAACATTTTCAGTCGCATTGTTGGGGGAGACCAAGCAGAAAAGGGTTCTTATCCTTGGCAGGTGAGTCTCAGGGAACATTCTCAGGGTGGGGGCAGGGGGGCTATGAGACATGTTGATTGAATCACAAGGAATTCTGTGCTATGTGTCTGTGCTCTGTTCTGCCTACCTCTTCACCAGCAATATCATGCGTATGTACAAAGATCAGAGTTCCTCATGATATGCATTGATTCAGTTCCACCAAGTTTTTTCAAAATAGTTATGTGTATTGTTGATTTGTGTCACCAACTAGAAATTCCATCCCAAATGTTTAGTTCCTAAGACAAAAGTTCTACTCAAGAAGTTAAAAAGTTTTCAAATTTACTATTTAAAAATAATTTTATTTCAAGAAGTGTATATAAAAATGTACTTGCATAGTTAGAAAAGACTAGAGAATTCATATCTACAAATTCACTCTGTTAGGATGTAAATTTTTCACTTATATAAAGGACCTCTCAGAATAGTCGATAGAGAATAGTGCCTCCTAGTAGTAGCTAAGGTTCTAGAAATTTTACTTTGATTTAATTTCCCAGTCCTACCATGTCATGAAAATGCTCTTATGTTTGTGCCCTTCAGGATATTTGTATTTATTGTCTTTGAAAGTCCATCAGTTGTCTTTACCATAGAAATCATGTTGTAATCTCACATCTTCAACTCACAAGTAAAGCAATTCTTCATTTTTAGTTCTCTTGAGCTGGTCATTAACTTTTAAGTCAAAGAATAAATGTTGAGTTTTAAGCCAAAGAATAATTGGTTGAGTTTTGTCCAGTGGATTGACTGAAAGCTAGGTCATTGTCATTGACCAACTGGTTCAGTGATTGATTAGCATTTCATGATTGAGTAGTTCATTAATCAGTTAATTACTAGTTCAATTGGTTTATTAGGTCAGAAATCCATATTTAGATCATAGCAAGAGTGACTCACTGATTTTTTATGACATGCTCTTTGTTCTATTCTTAGCCTTTCTCTCTATTACTTTTTTTTAATTTGGAGAGCGGGTCTTTTGTTGCTGATGTTTTGTTTTGTTTTGTTGATAGGAATCAGGCCAATAGCCCCACAAATACTAAACTATGTAGTCTATCATTTAGCTATGCACATTGTTTTTATTTCTCATAAAACAATTTTTGATCAAAAGATACACTAGTCTAGTAAATAACTTTTGTTGTAATTCCAAATCTGTGAAGATATTCATTGAATGTATTTACCTATACATTGTAAGTCATTTTACAATAAAATAAAATATCATGAAAAGGATGCACCAAAGATAGAAAGCATGCTGGAGAGGTAAAATAAAGAATAAGACCAAAAAAGTTATAGGAATCGAATAGTGAGTTAAATATATAGAAAAGGGTAGGTCCAAACTATTTAGGAAGCTTAGCGGAATTGGATACATACTGAAAGATCGCCTCACCTTGCATTTCCCCCAAACCTCTTCAGCTGGTCTCTGCTGTGCTTTGTACCCTTTTCCTTTCTTCATTCATAGATACTGTTAATGTTGTTAGAGCCATAGATATGGGACAATGGTGTTATAAAAACAGTAAACGAGGGACTGGGGATATAGCTCAATGGCATAAGCACCTGCCTGGCATGCGCGAGGTAAGGAGTTCGATCCCAATACCAAAAACAACAACAAAAAAGTAAACAAGTACCAATATTTCTAACTGCCAACTCAACTGAAAAGTTAATTATCTCAAATTAACTATCTGTCTTCCAGACCAGGACTGGGAAAGCTCTGGTTTCAACACTGGCCTTCTTTCTGAGTTGTATTGCATAGGTTTTACTCCTCCACAGTCATGAGTCGTATAATTATGAGTAAGATATTTGGTTTCCTTTTCAGCTTTTGGGGCATCCTAGAGCACTACACTCATTTCAGGTCTTTGCAATTCAGGTGTCTCTGAAAAAAAGGAAGAAGCACATCTGTGGAGGAACCATCATCTCTCCACAGTGGGTGATCACGGCTGCTCACTGCGTCGCAAAGCGGTAGGAAGGACACAGCTCATCAGTGGGAATCCTATCACCACTTCTCCCTCGGAGTCAGTAACAATAATTCTATTAAAACGTGCAGGACCATCCTAATGTATAACATAAGCAGGGTTCAGTGAGACTGTCACCTTGTACACAACTTGGTGAAGAACCATACAGTCTTTGCAGACAATCTTTTATTTACTTAAAATGCTGAAGTTAGGCCTGGAGGTTATCTCAGTGGCACAAGTGCCACTGATGAGCACGAGGTCATGAGTTTGATCCCTAGTACTGAAAGAAAAAAAAAATTGCTGAAGTTAATAAAGAATAATGTTCAAGTGAGTGAAAATTTTCTCTACTTTTTATAAATTTCAGTGAAAATTTATCCAATTCATCAATACATCTTAAGTTAAAAAAGATGGGAAACTAATAAAATATAAAGTAGACTCTCATGTCTTCCTTCCTGTCATTCTTACTTCTGTGTATGTCAGCCTAACAACTTCCATCCTTTATGCTAGTAGGCACTAAAGACACTAACATGACTAAGAAACAATTCCTGTCCCCCAGACAGTTGATAGTTTTAGTGAAGTGGTAGCGTGGTGTGATGACCCATTTATGCTCCAGCCACTCAGGAGACTGAAACATGAGGAGGGCTTGTCAAGTCTAGGAGTTTGAAATCAACCCAGACAACTTGACAAGACCCTGCTTCATAAACAAACAAACAAAAAAGTTAATTGAGGGGTGGGAATATAGCTCAGCAGCACAGTGCCTGCCTGGTAAGTGCAAGGTCCTGAGTTCAATTCCTGGTACAAAAACAAAAACAAAAACAAAAAAACAGTTAATTTAAATGTCACTGAATATGGGAGGTGGTAAACTCGACGGTTACTATGTACTAAGTTAGGTACTTAACATAATCAAAAATTCAGAAAAGAATACCAAGAAGAAATAATATCCTTTCCAATTTTGTATAAAAGAATTACTTCTGAAAATAGAGTCCCCAGTGATGGCAGCCTCAAACCTCTTAAACCATCTCACCAAGTTCCTTTGAGATGACATTGTCCCAAAGACATGAGGTCTTTCCCCATGTCCTAAGAAATTTCTAAATTTCAAGCAAAAAGAAGTTAAGGAGAAGATCCCAAAATTCCATTACCATCATATGTTAAATCTCCATATAAGTGTGCTCTCTGGGGGCAGAGTTGTGGTGCTGTCCTTCATAATACAGACCTTGACTGAGATCTTTGACATTAAAGCTGCATACTTGTCAGGAATCACAAAGCATTTCCAAAGGCTCTCCTGGTGTTGAAGTTGCATCAACCTCTCACAACAGCCAAATAAACTCCCTTACAGCTTTTAGAACCCTGAGTCACAAGTACATTTCCACTAATAAAAATACAATGCTATCTGTTAAATGCATTATATCATTGGCTCCATATGAAGCCACTCTTCAGGAGTTCTCCACTGCAAGTAGTAATTTTTCCTTTTTTTCCTAATAGCATTGAAATCATTCTCGTTTTCTCTACTGAGAAGTTTTGAACCCCACATTATCCACCCATAAAATTTCAAATTGGCCAATGTGTTCACTATTTAGAACTGTACTCAGAAGCTCATTGAAAGCCTCCAATTTTCTACTTCTTTATAGAAGCATAACTTCAATTTTGAATGTCACTGCTGGAGAACATGACTTGAGCCAGACAGAGCCAGGAGAGCAAATCCTCAACATCAAAACCATCATCATACACCCACAATTCTCCATCAAAAAACCGATGGAGTATGATATCGCCCTTTTGAAGATGGCTGGAACCTTCCAATTTGGTAAACATCTAGAGTGCACCCTCAATCACCTACCCTATATTCCCTATTAACTCTGGCCCATGTGCATCTCTAGTGTCCATAGTATGCAGCATATGACCGGTTGTTCTGCATTATGTGCTTTGAGATGGTGAGTTTGATTGCTGGGTCCCCTACCCTGAAACTGTTTGCTTGGGTTATTGGAGTAAGTGGAATCAAGAAAGTGTGACCTCAGGAGATACCAGACAGATACATCACAACTCTTACAAGGTTTGGGAGGAACTGCCAGATCCCAATCGATAAATAATTTATGGCAGTGTCTCTTACGTGAATGGGACGAGCTCTACCTTGGTTCTTTTTTTTTTTTTTTTTTTTTTCCAGGCCAGTTTGTGGGGCCCATCTGTCTTCCAGAGCCTAGGGAACGATTTGAGGCTGGATTTATTTGTACTACCACAGGCTGGGGCCGCTTGGCTGAAGGTAAGAAACCCTGTGCTACTCCTCTTAATCAGAGATCAGAGTTTACCGGTGACTAATCAGAGAATAGAATTTTTATTTATTTTTTAAAATATTGTGCAAATAGTGCACTTACAAATTCAGGTCTTTCCCAAAGGCACAAATCTGATGTCAGTTAATGAAAATGGATATGTCATATTCAACTCAGAAGCACTTTTCTGGGGGTCCTGTCCCTCTGTTCTAGGTGGCATCTTTCCAAAAGTCTTGCAGGAGGTGAACTTGCCCATTTTGACCCAGAAGGAGTGTGCGGCTGCTCTATTAACCCTAAAGAAGCCTTTCAAGGGGAAGACCTTTCTCTGCACAGGCTCCCCTGAGGGAGGCAGAGATGCATGTCAGGTGAGTAGGAACTTCAGATCTGCCCCCAGTTTTGTTGACAGGTGAGGGCAGACATACATTAGATGCACTCCAGGTAAAACTGAAATGTGGGAAGGTAGGTCAGGACAAGTCAAACTAAGGGAACAAGTCGAACATAATGTTTTGAAAAGGGAGTGTGAATTCAGAGGAGGCCCAAATAACAGAGTTGATGCCAACAATAAGCTCAAGCTCTCCCATTCCTAAAAGATTTTTGGCTCTTTCCTACTTAAATTTGTGGGTGTTGAGATCTTTACTTTTTCTGACTCTTCCTGTTTACAAGACCTAAAATCAATTTTATCACTGGGCAGGACTTCTGGGAGTCTGTAGCATGAGAGAAGAGAGGAAAGAAAGCTTGTCATTCTGATCAACACCTAGGATGGTAGAGATGGAGCTGGAATTGATAGGCTCCAGTGATAGTCAAGGACCATTTGAGAATTATGCTTGGCTAATTTCCTTGTGCTTGGGCCATGAGTCTCAAATACTAGAAGTGAGAAGTTGTCATTAATCCTCGTCTGTCATTTTTGTGTGGGAAAAGTGAGCTCTTTGCAGCATAGGCACTGACAATGATGTAACATGGGCTTTCTCCATCTGCAGGGAGACTCAGGAGGTTCACTCATGTGCCGAAATAAAAAAGGAGGCTGGACTCTAGCTGGTGTGACTTCTTGGGGTTTGGGCTGTGGTCGAGGCTGGAGAAATAATGGGCAGGAACAAGAGCAAGGATCTCCTGGGATCTTCACAGATATTAGTAAAGTGCTTCCTTGGATCCATGGACACATCCAAACTGGTAATAAAGCCATCATGCAAGGTTAAGAAGCTGCTATTCTGCTAGGGCAGAGAGCATTAGGCAATTCAGGACCACGGTGCACAGCCTTCCACTTCTGTTCCCAGGGTAGCCCAAGATTATAAAACTTACTGTCCAAAATAACAGCAAATGTGAAGTGTCTTGCAGCACACAGATATTCAATGAAAAATGAATCCTTCTGTTGTAGATTTTGTCAATTTTTCTTTCAATGAAATTATGTTACCTGATAATATTTTTTACTGCCTACTTCTCAACTATCCTACAAGATGTAGCACATATCAATCAACCAGGGGCAATTTTGCCACGTAAGCCAAAATGTTGGGAAACATTACTGGAAAGGAGACAGTGGCATCCGGTGCTTAGGGACCATGGATGCTGCTAAACAAAGTACACTGCATGGGACAGACCCAGCTTGCTCCAAATGTTCATAATGCAAAGGGTGGGAATTCCTGGCATAGAAACAGACATGGTTCATTTGACAGGGCCAAGATCTACACAAAACCTTCTACTAAACTGATCGGGGAATAGATTGCAGCATCTCTTCAATTCCAAGTCAACTGTTTTTTTAACCGGTCTCAAAAAGGCTTTCATCCTTTCACACTGAGGTTAATTCAAAGTAATTTGGTAGGAAATTGAATTTTTTTCAAGTGTGTGGCTCAGTGGTAGGTATCTGTGGCATCAGTCCAAGTTGTAGCCATTCCAGAAATTCTCTTGTGGTTGTAGGCAAGTTATTTCTGAATCTAGCCTCTAATCTTGTGTAACATAACCTCTTGGTCCTCTCTGTAATTGCCACATTAATCAAAACTGTTTCTTAATTAGGAGACTCAATAAAGTAAGTAAAATCATCTCTGTAAAACACCAGGGCCCCTTTCCTATTTTGTCCATTTATCCCTTCTGGTCTTTTTACATGTTAGATTTTTTATTAGTTGTATACTAACTGTCTTTTGAGTGGAACAGATGTTAGTTTCTTGAAATATCATTCAGGATGCCACAAGCTTTGAATTGCCTTTCTTTTTCTTTCCCAGGACATCAGAGAAAAAGCTTCAGAGGTAAGCACTGCTTGAATCTGCTCCTCCCACAACGTAAATTAACATTTCCAAATACCATGTCCCTTTACAATCAAGTCTTCCTTTGCAAATTTCCATGCCACCTAAATATGAAACTACCAGGTGCACCCAGGCTGTCTCTTGCCAGTCTGGGCTGTTCCATACCGAAGATGAGCCCTGGATTCTTCTTGTAAATCCAGAGCTCAATCTAATTAAGCAAACATTTTCCAAACACTAGCTTCGAATCAGAGACCCAAGACAGTTGTCCCACGGGTATATTAGACTCATCTCTGTGGCACGTTGCAGCTCTGCCTTGAATTTACCCTTTGATTTTTGGCAAGCTCTTTCATATCTCAACCTTGATTATCCCATCCATAAAGAAGTTGGACCAGCTGGTCTCTAAGGTATATTTAGCTGATATCTTAAATGTTTCTTGAGATTGTTCAACTATCAGCAAAAAGTTAAGAGCTTAGAATAGGGAGAAGCTGCATCTAACTGCAAATAAATAAACAAATATAGGGAGATTTTGAAACATAGATACTTTTTAAGTTGAACCTTATCAGACAATAACAATTTGTCAGGTGGTAATAAGGTATGGTAATGAAATGACTCCAAGGGTTGGGGATTTACCTCAGTGGCACAACACCTGCCTGGCGAGCATGAGGTTGTGAGTTCCATCCCCAGTACCAAAAGGAAAAAAAAAACAACAACAAGAAAGAAAAGACACCATCTAAAGGAATTATTCCTATCAGAAGATGGATATTAAAAGTCAGACAGGAAAGCTGTAGGGTATAATAGAGACCAGCAAATCAGCCAAAGTAATTTAAGTGTAGGATGTGTTATAAAGGCCTATGAGGAAAAAGATTTGCACTAAGATAATTTGAAAGCAAATTCTGTAAACGTCAAAGACCAGTCACAAAGTTTGGAATTTATTAATAGGAAGTTAATTAATTAGATGCATCATTTAGATTTATAAGCTATTGACATAAAAACAGCAGGCAGGTGCTAAATTCATGGGAGTATAATTCAAGGTGGAGTGACAAAATTATGTAGTAGTTTAAGAGATAAACAACAAAGATTTGAGCAAAGACAATACCAAGAAAATGAAAAGGACAAAATAGAAAGGGAAAAATTATAACTTTATTATCAATTTTAGAAATGCTAGTAATGAGAGAAAAAAATCAAACTTGATTCTGTTATAAAAATACCAAAGTTTTGAGCCTGAGAGACTCAGAAAAGAGCATGTAAAAGAGAAGAACACAAAAATGAATGCAATTTTCCTGACCCAAAGGAATTACACTTGAAGCATGTTGAGTCTCGAGAGATAGTTAGCAAACCATTGTGCAGTCTGAAGTTCAGAGAAGTAGCGATGATAGTTAAAACCAAAAAGACAAATGGTACTGGTCAGAGGGCTCATGTAGAAAGGAGATGAGAACTAAGGCTAGAACCATGGAAATAGCTGTGACTATAGAAAAAAGATGGGGGTCTGAGAAAGAAGAATTTTAAAAAATCAGAGTCTCAATGTGAAGCAAGCTCTAAAAAGAATAAAAAATAATGATGCACTGAATAAACCTAGACACACAGATGTTACGAAGAACGGGAGCTATCAAGAAGGACCAGAAGGCTCCAGTGACCTCACCTTCTAGAAGCAAGGGTTATTGTGTTCGGCTATGAGTGTCAGCACTGATTCTGTGGTTTTCCCTCCCAGCCTCATGTGCTGAGCAAGATGCCATAGTCAGCCAATCTGAGGGGGAGTTGCACTTCCCGGAAAGCATCCACCTGTATCGTGACAGCGAGCAGTGAGTAACCCCTCTACCATCTTCCCTCAGACTCCCACCTCCAGTCTGGCTGTGCCCATCAACTGGACTGTGGTAGTCACTTTCCTGTCTAGCAGTGAAACTCTCTCTGTGTCCCTGCCTGCAGAGTGTGTGTCTGGACCCTGTCGGTCCCAGAGGAAATGCACATGTTGCTCAATTTTTCCCACTTGGATGTGGAAGTTTGCCACCACAATTATCTGGCAATGTATTCTTCAGAAGACAGACTCCTTGGTGAGTGAATATTTTACACTGTCAAATGAAAGTGCTGCTAGGTGGACTTACAGATTATGATGTGGTTAGCACAAGTAGTCTAAAAATGTCACAATTCTCATCTCCAGTTTTGAGACTCACATTGAGAGTGGAGAGGAACAGAATCTCAGCCTGATGATGGCTGCAAGGCCACACAGAATTTCACTTTCTTCATTCTGCTTCCCATCAAACCAGGCTTTCTAAACCTAAATTTCATTAGGAGTAAAATCTAAATATATTGCAGTGTTCCTCAGGGTATCCCAGGCAGAACCTGGGCATGAAAAGGACATTGCCTCAAGCTAGGAAGATACCAAAAGATAATAGGAGGAGGAAACAGAGCTTACTTATAAGAAAAACAGAAGTGGAGTAGTGTTTCTGTGTTTATCGACTGGAGTGACTTCACCCCTCCCCCTGCCAGACATTTAACAACATTTTAGAAATATTTTTGGATGTCACAACAGGAGACTATATTAATGGTAGAAGTCAGGATGCTACAAAAACCCTGTTAAAAGCACAGGGCACCCAATAGTGTCGAGTTTGAGTCACTCTAGTTTAGACAGATTTGAAATTTCATGACCATTAATGGGTGTTGTTTTCTAGAATTTGAACAGTGAATCTTCTTCTTGTGTTGCAGGAATATTCTGCGGAGAAAGCCTTGCTTCATCCATTCTTGTGGGCTCCAACTCTATAAGGCTTAAATTCTTCTCTGATGCCACAGACTATGCCACTGGGTTTAATCTCACCTACAAAGCTCTTATACCAAAATACCTTCCTGGTAACATCATTTACTTTTATCACAAACTATCCAGGTCCTTTTAAGAAGTTTTAGTCCCATTGGACTCAAGTGGGGTCCATAGCAGACAATACCACACATTGTCAGATGGAAAGTATTTTGAGTAGTTTGCAGTCTTTCCTTCCACGGCCCTCAAAATTCACCCACCTACGTGAACCAGGAGACTGAAGGGCTCTGGAAAAATCAGTAACTACCCTCCTCCTTTCTGGTGGCTCTGTCTAAAGTTTCAGACTATATCATTTATGGAAGACAAGAGGGAGAACACTGAGAATTTCTCTTACTTTGTTGGTGCCATTCTTTTCTTTTTGATTTTTTTACTTTTTGTGTGTTTCAGATTCAGGTTGTACTTCCTTAACCATCCTTTTTGAAGAAGCAGTCATCCAAAGTCTTCATTACCCTGAACACTACACTGACATGATTAACTGTAACTGGATTTTTCAAGCCCCAGCATATCACATAATAAAGGTATTGCCTTTGGTTATCCTTACTTAGTTATGATACATATTATCCACAGAATAACTGATATAAGGACAATATAGGCAACATATTTTATCTGTTTTATTTGTGGATATATTTTTAGCACTCAGTCCATAATGCACAATACATCATCTCTCAATAAATACTTGAATAATGACTAGACCAAGTTTCACCTAAATTGCATCTACCAACATTGACCACTAGGTGGCACTTGCCCTCTGGTTCGTTTTAAACAACAAACCAAAACCAAACCAAGACTATTGCCTTAACCTTTGCACCTCATGACTTTAGTCAGTCTCCAGTCCCTTCTAGAAATAAGGGTGTCTTCCTTATAAGTTTAACTGCTAAAATCACCCAAGTAAGTAAAGGTAAGAAAATTCAATGACACGGACAAAATCATCAAACCTTCCAAGAAAAGAAGAGTAGGAAACAGTTGGACATGAGTGGTTTAAGAGCTACAAGGCATTGTTGGAGAGATTATTGGAATATGAAGCTAAGACCAAAGTATGGAGACCTTAGAATGTCAGGTACAGGGTGTGCTCCACATTCAATTAGTAGGATTATTGCTTATGTTTCTTTGCTCATTGAACTCTAGCAGATTCTGCTAAGGGAGATTATGAAGTAGTTAAAGGTAATACTACGGTCAGGATGAGGCATTTACTTCTAAGTCTCTTAAAATGATACTTGGAAGAAGGGAGTATGTGGTGGAGAGAAAGGAGGAAGGAAAACGGACGAGGGCAACCTCAAAGTTCTAATATAGCTATGCATTGCTTAATAAGAGGGATCTGTTCTGGGAAGTAGGTGATCATTAAGCTACTTCAACATTATGTGAACATCACAGAGTGAAACTGTGCAAACTAAGCAGCTACTGTCACTAGTTGATGCAATTATATAGGACTACTGTTGCATAGCTGGTCTGTTGTAGACCAAAATATGTTTATGGCACATGATCATACTTGAGGTGGAAAGGGAGCTGAGATGCAGGAGGAAAACTACATTGGTACAATTTAATGGTAGAGCGAAATGGAGACTTTATTTTAAAACACAACACAAAACAAAAGCACATGGCCAATTGTTTGAGTTTACCACACAAAGTTAGAGTCTAAAGAGAATAAAAGTTGAAAGTTAACTCTTCAGTCCTCACACCTCAAAAACTAGTAGAGCATTTGGGTTGGAAAGTTGAGCATCTGAGAGTCAATGGGCTGGGGCATCTGAAACATCAAATGAAGTTGGAAGTTAACAGAAAAAAGATCATATGAGTTTTACAAATGAGTGGGAGAAAAGGGTCCTCTTTCTAAAAGTTTCTGAAAACCAGAGTAGAGGCAAAATTTTCGACAGAATTAAGGGAACACTTGTTGTTTATAACAAGGGGAAACATTTAGATATGTGGAGGGAGGGTAATTCAGTGAGTGCTTGTAAGGAGAGAGGGCAGAGGGAGAAAGTGAGGGAAGAAAGGAGGGAGGGAGGGGAGGACAAAGAGAGAGAGAGAGACAGAGAGAGAGAGAGAGAGAGAGAGAGAGAGAGGTTTGTAAGAGGAAGAAAGGAAAAAAGATATTTCCTGAAAACACTAGAGCTAGAAATGATTCAGAACCATGAATAAACAGGTGTAGATGCTGTGCATCACTGAAATGATGCTCTCACACCCTGCCCGTGACAGCATCACCCTGTAGGACCCACTCAACACCACAATTTGGAAATTGCTATTATAAACTATAACAATATGCATAAACTTTGACTTGGAATATCAAAAATGCAGTATACAATATAAACTATCCAGAGAAGCAGTTTGTATTTCCATGCAACTAGTTGTGTGTCTAAGCTAGCAGAACCCAAAACCTAGCTATTTCTGAAGATAACAGTGTCTGAAGAGTGGACTCAAATATTTGTACAAACTTATATTCAACCTGTATTTGGCAGCTTTGATATTTCAGAATGTTTGAGAACCTGTGATACAGCATCTTTTACTAAACTACTTAACTTTATTCATGAATGTTGCACTAAGCACCTCATGTAAGGTGTGACTCTACAGCAAGTTGAGAAATCCACATTTCTTGTTTAATTAAAAGCTCTTCATGTTGTTCACTCTGGATTTAACTTTGAATCTTCTCAGCTGTCATTTCAGAGTCTGGAAATAGAAGAAAATGGAGGCTGCACTTTGGACTATGTGACTGTGCATGGCGATGTAGAAAGAAAAGAGGAAATAGGTTTGTTCTTCCCAGAAGTTCAGCTTCTTCCAGTTTGAATTGGGCACAATCGTGAGATGGGAATAAAAAGGATATCGCTCATTTTTCCTTCATTCCCCTGTACCAATCCCATCCCTCCCTATGGTCTCACTATCCTTCTATATGCAAGGCATGAAGAGAGAGAGGGAGACTCAAAGAAACATTTGAACAGAAAATATGAAAGGCCCACAAGCAGCCAGGAGTCAGAAGGGGAAGATCTCTTAGTGGCATTTCAGTGGAAACATCTGGCAAATGAAACAACTCAAATGTCAATGGGGCTAAACGCACACTTTTAAAAAGCCAACTGCCTTTTCTATTTTGAAAACAAATTGTCACACTCATCAGAAAATTTATTTCTCAACAATTTCCTAAAGAGTCTTTTTTCCCCTTTGCATTCAATGCCACATCTATGTGCCGGGCCCTTGACGATGTCTTGCTGGGGCATCACTCAGCTCGTTTGTGTGGCTTCGCAGTGCCCACACCTGTGATGAGCTCCTCTGGTGTCATGTTCATCAACTTCCAGTCGAATGAAGATAGCACCTTTGGAGGCTTCCAGGCTACAGTTTCCTTTATTCCTGCAACAGGTAAGAAGACAGAGGCACCAACTCTTCAGTTCCCAATTCTAATCCTCCTAATAAAGAGCAATTAAAGGCAGCAGATAGTTACAGCCCAACACAGATACAGACAATGCTCATTATTCGAAGTAAATTATATCCTCTACGAACCCTAAACGAGGGAGCACTGAACCACTGCTGCAAGGAAATATTCAGGTTAGGTTTCTGCAAATTTTTCATCAATGAATTAATACATAACTTCATTTTATGTATTGAAAAAGACCCCCATTGGAATATAGTCTTGATTCCTTAATATTCACTGTAAACAGTGAAGTAACTCATGTTTTAAATACTCTTATCTGCCACAGAGTGTCATTTACCTGACTTTTTTATGTAAGGGACATTTTGGCCTTCTTACACTGGGGAACACTAGATGGCACTTCAGCTCTATACTTGGGAGCCATGTTATTCAGCTAGATAGCCAGCAAAAAACAACACACAAACGAAAAGGGACGCTAAGAGACCACACAAGGGACATTAATTTACATTCATTTTTAGGGCAAAGCTGAAAATGAAACAAAACATTGGTTTCCTTTCTCCATCTTAGTGAGGAATGTCCAAATATTCCATAAAAGCACTAAGGATATTGTCTTGGGGGTGACACATAAACCTTAGTGAGTAGGCAAATCCACATAGGAATCTACAAAGAATGAAGCATTTTATATGCTCAAATTCTGGCTAATCTTTAGTTAAAAAAATAATCATCTGAAACTCTGCTTTCAATGTTAAGTGGGGAAAAACTTCATGCTTAATAAAAGCAGAGTAAAGATTAAATCACATAAGATATACTTGACCGTAAGTAAGTGAGAAACATAACAAAGGAACAGAACGTGAAATATCCTGCCCAGTCCCCAAGCACTGGACAATCTCACTACTCAGTTTTCTACCCATGATCTGCTTCCAAAGTCATTATTAGATATTAAGTAGCTGGTGATGGGAAAGCTAAGTTACGGTTAAAATACTCTATTTCTCAATTAAGATTTACTGAACTGCTCCAGAATTCTAACAGTATCTCTATAATTCATTTTCTGATATTCCTGATATTCCTATTTCTGATATTCTGATATTCCTAATCCTGATCTTCTTTGTGTGAGTCACTTCAGTAATTATATCATGTTTCAACCCAGATTTAAATATTTCCATGCCAGAGGATGAATCCACTTTGTAGAGGCATGGACGGTAGCACCTGGAGGGATTAATCCTTCTGCTAAATTGTTTGCAGGGCAGGGTATCTAAGTGATACACTTAGACTACATAATACAGGGTTCAGCCAGAGAAACAGGTGTGATAGGTTAAGTATCTTCCCCCAAAATGTGTTGAAATCCTTCAATCACACTAAATATGATCTTATTTGGAAATAGGGTCTTTATCGAAACAATCAAGTTAAAATGAGATCATTAGTATGGGTCCTCCAAGTGACTCGTGTCCTTATGAAAACCAGAAATGTGAAGATGAAGGCAGAAACGGGGGGCACATGTCATCTACAAACCAAATGGCACCAACAATTGCCAATGAACCTCCAGGAATAAGGATGAATCATGGAACAGATTCTCCATCTTGGTTCTTACCCAGAAGCAACCTGTTGACATCTTGATCAGGACCTGTATTCTCCAGAACTGTGAAACAATAAATTTCTGTTGTTTTTAAGCCAGCAAGTTTGTGGTGCCTTGTCACAGTAGCCCTAGCCAATGAATATACAAGAATTAAGTTATACAATTACAAGAACTCAAGCAACACACCCAGGAGACAGTCAATCAAAAAAAGGAAAGTCATAGGAATTCCAGATTCCATAGTCTTGGGCTGAGGTTGTCCTCCATGGGCAGGATTTCTTCTCTCCTTTAGGGAACATTAGCCCTGCTTTTCAAGGCCTTCCATGCAATCAAGTCAGGCCCACTCATATTGCCAGGATGATCTTCCTTACCTAAAGGCAACTGATTTGAGACTTGAAGTACATCTGCAAAATTGCTTCAAAACACCACCTAAATTCTTGTTTGACTGAATAACTGTAGGCAGTAGATTTTCCAGGTTGGCATATTAAAAAGGCCATGAAAGAGGGGCAAAGCATGTGATTGGTGTTCGTTCTGCTCAAACCAACACTGAAATGTTTCAATCCCTAAGGATAAGAATTTCCTTCTTAAGCAACTCATCTGGTGTGGATAGCTGAATTGTGTGCCAAACTGTGGAACGACTCACAAGATCCTTCTGCTTCTCATGTATTTTAATGCCAATGAACAATAATGAGTACTGGGCTCTTCCTTTTCCTTGTTTTCTCTATGACATCCATTGACATGTTTTGGGGACATCCTGGTCCCTGCAGAAGATATGGTAGTCAGGGAAAATGCAGAAGATAGAGACAGAGAATTTTCTAGTTTGTCATTTTAATAGTTTATCAAACATATTTTTATTTTTAAACATTTTCTGGTACATTGAATACAATAATAGAAAGTGGAGGGCAAATATTTATTTTAATGAGAAGAGTTCAGGGCAGTCTGGATCTTTTTGCTCCGGCTTCTTCAGCAATGACCTCAACATGTTTATTGATCCCAGATAGTGTGTTTGACTACAGTGTTTCCTTCTCTTGGCCATCAGTGGGCACCTTCTGTATGGTCTCTCTGTCTCTGTCTCTGTCTCTGTCTCTCTCATCAAACTAAACCAAGTAAATATTTTCCAAGATATTGCATTATAACACTCAACAAGACAGTTATCATTTTATTCTCAGTGCCTACCAAAATGACTTAGAACAAAGTAGGTGTCAAATAAATATTTGGTTAATAAAATAAAATAACCACAAATAGTCCTGAAGTCAAATGGCAATAAGAGGATTTCTTGATTTTCTCTCAGTTAAATCACACTTCATTTACAAGCTTCTCACTTCATATAAATAACATTAAAATTTAACAAAGACAAGAAAAAGTTTACATATGTCCAATTTTAACTACCTCACCTACTCAGGGGAATCAAAACCTCAAGATTACCTTTTAAACCAGGTGTGGTGGTGCACATGTGTAATCTCAGCTACCCAGGAGACTAAGGCAGAAGTTTGGCAAGTTCAAAGCCAGTCTGAACAACTCAGTGAGACCGTGTCTCACAATAAAAGTTTCTAAGAATTTAGATGATGTGGCTCTGTGGTAGAGTTCCCCTGGGTTGGCACTCCAGTAAAAATAAATATAAACAAATAAACAAGCAAGCTGAGAATGCAGCTGAATTGAATTCCTTTTGCAACTATAACAAATTATCCCTCAGTATAATACCTTCTAATGGGTAAGAGATGGATAGATGGGTACAACATATATTATAGATATTGAATCTAAAATAGAGCAAATAAAGAAGTTAAATGTGAGTTGATATTTTATTACTAGGGAAGATATTCATTTCCAGTAATGGGTAAAATTGTTTCTTTCTAGAATACAACAGATATTTCTCATCATTCTCAGGTATAGACTAGAGTGACTTACACAAGGGAGGTCACCCCTTCACATCAACTCCCACCACCTTGCTTGATTTCCTTCTTGGTTATGGGAGACCGAAAGGTTACACCCAGCTTCTGGCCACTGTAGGCCCACTTGCAAATTTCCACTGAACATCTACATGGAAGGACCTTTCACCTCAAAGACCTCGGAGGCCACCACTCTAATTTCTTCTCCAGTAAGCAAGGATATCTGGGGAATACAAAGTGATGGGAACTGATAACTCAAGTTTTGACCCCAAATCCTTCAGCTACCACTTCTCATATCCATCAAGGTCTCCTGTGAGTTACCACTGGCTGCCCAATTCATCACCATCCTGAGTATCCATGAATGCCCTACATGCCCTGGGAAGCTCTGCCACATCACACTGTGCTTCTGTATTATAATTCAGCATGGTGTGGCTGTTGGATAGAGATATATTCATTTTATCATATCTTCTTTCCTAGGATCTTTCTTTTAATTTTAAAATGAAAAAAAAACACAATGATACAGAATTTCAAAACAACATAATAGGAGATTAACAATCATTAATGGATTGCATATTGTTATCTTCAAAGTAGTTGCTCAGATTACATGATTTAAGCATGAAGAAATTATCAAACAATGAAAACATGAGCCATTCTTTCTGATGAACTAATAGAGATTAGTAGTACAATTATCTATCATATACATATAGATATATATATTCTTTCCCCTTCTTTCTCTTCTCTTTTCCACATTCCATTGTTGTTTCCTTTTGAGCAAGTTTCTTCCCCTTTCACTTTTACAATATCTATTGTACATTTTGGATCCTATGTACTCCTTCAGTTTTTTATACTAGGAAGACAATACAATATTCACAAATGTGAGTCTGACTTATTTCACTTATAAGTATGGTTTCAAATTGCATTCATTTACCTATAAAAGCCTTGAGTTTATCTTTCTTTATAGCTGAGGTAGTATGCCATTGTATAAAAATGCGACATCTTGGGTGCCATGGACAGGCTGACTGGTAGAGAGCCAGATGCCAGCCCTCTCCTGTGAGTCTGCACCATTTGCAGACTTCAGGGGAGGAAGTCAAGAAGTCAGCAAGAAAAAGGAGAATAACCTTCATTGAATAATATTAAAAAACTCAGGAATATGTGAAACAGATTCAAAGAGATTACCAGGAAATTTAAAACTCCATTGAAAGCTGGAAAAATTGCCTGAGAGAAACTAAAGATAGATTAACAAAACTTGAAGACAGGTTTGCATCGTGTGATCCCGAAAGGAAAGATCTCTTAAAAATAACAAGGAAAAAGGCAGAATACAAAGGCTAGAAGAAAACAAGAGGACCTATAACTTAAGAATAAAGAATGTGAGTGAAGAAGCAGGGGTAAACACAAAGGGAATACAAAGGATATTCACAGAAATAATTAAGGAAAACTTCCCAAGAATAGGAAAAGGAAATTATATCCAGATGTATGAGTCATACAGAACTCCAGAGCCAGCTACACCCAAAACAGATCTACACCCAGACATATAATAATCAAGTTTCCAGAAATTCAGCACAGGAACAAAATATTAAAAGTGGTCAGATAAAATAAACAGATCATCTATAAAGGAAAATTCATCAAAATCATGACAGACTTCTCGATAAAAACCATCAAATCCAGAAGAACTTGGAGTGAAGTATTCCAAATCCTGAAAGAAAATAACCTCCAACCCAGATTGATATAACCTGAAAAACTGTCTCTCAAAATTAATGGAAAAACAAGATACATGCATGACAAAGAGGAACTGGGGGAGTTTGTGACCACCAATCCAACCATACAGAAAATACTGAAGGACATTCTAGAGGGAGAGAAAAAAAAACACCGAGATTTCAGTAACAGTGGCAGAGAGGCCTCAATGAATGGGACAGACAGTGGAATGAAGGAGAAAAGTAGAAAACCAATGGCAGAAAAAGCATAGCAAAAATGAGGCAATAAAGGTTGACTATAATCTCTAACGTAGATGGCCTTGATACACTAACAAAAAGAAACACAAGCACAGTAGATCAGGAGATAGAGTCCATTGAGATGCTCTGCATAGGAAATGTAGTTAACCTGAAAGAGTGTTTATGGACCAAAAGTCAAATATGAGAAAACAATGCCCTATGCAACAAGGAACCAGAGAAAAATAGGAGTAATTTGTCCAGCAGCTGCAGATAGACTGGAAAAACATGACACTTTTGTGTACTGGAGAACTACTCAGCTATAATAAAGGAAAACCTGGAGGCTTGTGTAGGTAAAGGAATACAACTTAAGATCAAGCTCAGGGGTAAAAAGTTTCGGAACCACTTTATAGCAGGTTGCCCCCTTAATCTAAAAACTAAAGTAGTTAGTGGGACCAAAATGTACAATGCACCCTTTGAAAGTGAAAGGGGAGAATTGTCTAAAAAAGGAAGGCAAAAGACATTATTAATAGTGTATCAGTATTTAAAATCCACACTATTCTCATTTCTCTGTTTAATTTGACTATATTCTGTTTTAGTCTGTCTATTTGTACTAGAATTGAGGGCACAGACAGCTATTCCAAAAACAGCAGGATATACTATGATAACTATCCTTTATTTCCTATTAATTTAATCTGAAGCCTTGTATAATTTACAAGGCTAATTATGACTGATCTTATTTGAATCTGGTTTGTTAGATTGCTGTTTTGTCTTGACTGATTTTATTTGAATCAGTTATGATTGATG